AAAAACCCTACACTGATCTAATAATGGAAATATTCAACAGAGACTCTCTACGTGTGATGTATTGGGGGGGAGTGTATTCACTCACGTGGAAGTGTATATGGAGACCAGTCATTGAAATCAGGATAATCTTCCTCAATCACTTCTCCACTTTATTTTTGGGCGGGCTCGTTTTACTTGGGTTTTTTTGTTTTTTTAAACTAAAACTGAAGCTTGCCATTCATTTTTGACTAGACTGGCTGACCATGGAGCCTTTGAAAGATCCACCTGTCTTTTCACACACACACCCTACCGCAGTGACAGGGTTACATAAATGCACCAATGCAACAAGGTTTTACATGGAGTCTGAAAATCTGAGCAAAAGTCTTCAATCACTTTCAGCATTTCCCTAGACCTCAAGAGACATTCTATTGTACATGCTTTATGACTGTAGCTATCTATACATGTTTTTAAAAGCTGCATTGTGAATTAGCATAATTAGAGGCTATACTGCTTCTAAGAAAGACAAACTAGTAACCCCAGAATTTGGAAGCCAGAGAAATTGGAGTTCCAGGCTAGGCTTGTCTATAAAGGGATTTTGAGATCCTGTCCACATACATGCAAAATAAATACTAACATAATTACTTAAAGTAAAATATAAACTTTGTGAAAACAATGAATTATATACTAGTTATTAACTTTTCACTGAATTATAAAATGTATAGTTTTATCAATTTTTTGTTATTATTTTAGGGTTTTTTGCTTTTTTTTTGAGACAAGAGAAGCACCCTAAGTAGCCTCAAACTAGCAGCCATTCTTGAAGGCTATTGAAAGATTTTAACTCAAATTCTTGAGGTAAACAATGAATTACTCACTGGGTATAGTAGCACATATCTATAATCCCAGCACCCTAGAGGCAAAGGGAGGGGGAAACCACCATTGTTTGAAAGCAGTTTATTCTAAATATAAACTAAGAAATATAATACCCATCAAATATCCTCCAAATGAAAATAGACAAACTAATTTGACTTTTTTTGGTGTCTGTGTTGGGGCGGGGGGAGGGGGGGGGCGGTCGTCCCACATAGCTCAGGCTGGCTTCAAATTCACTATGTAGCAGAGGAAGACCCTGATCTTCCCATCACTTCTCAAATGCTGGTATTATAGGTATACTAGACCTTATTTCTTAAATTGAGACAAAAAAAAAAAGTTAATCCTAATTTCCATGAAAGATTTATTATTATAAACAAACCTCAGGATTAAAAACTATAAATGTGCTGGGTGGTGGTGGCACCCACCTTTAATCCCAGCACTCAGGAGGCAGAGGTAGGCAGATCTCTGTGAGTCCAAGGTCAGCCTGGTCTATGAAGCTAGTTCTGGAAAGTCCCCAAAAGCTACAGAGAAATCCTGTCTCGAAAAAAACAAAAAGAAAAAACAAAACAAAACAAAACAAAAGAAACTCTAAAAGCCTAAAAATAATATTTGATTTGCTATAACTTGTTGGTCAACTCTTTATTTTACTAATACTATTAATTATAGTGGTATATTATTTGTTTTAATAAATAAAGCTTGCCTGAAGACCAGAGGGTAAAGCAGCCACACTAGTCAGTCACACAGGCCAGAGTGGTGGCACACACCTGTAATCCAAGGACTAGGGAGAGAGAGGCAGACAGATTTCAAGGTTAACCTGGGTTACACAAGATGGATTCAGTAACAGATCCAGGTGGTGGTGGCTTACACCTTTAATCCCAGTGTCTGGGAGTCACACACCCTTAATCCTAGCACTAGGGAAGTGGAGCCAGGAGGGAGGGATGTGGCTGGGTTGAGATGGGAATATAAACTGGAAGAGAGACAGGAACTCACTGGAGTGTGGAGTCTGAGGATTCCTGAAGATAGGATCTTGCCCTTTCAGTCTGAAGATTTGGGAGAGGTAAAAGGTAGAGGTCTCTCTAGTGGTTGGCTGCTTTGCTCTTCTGATCTTCAGCTTGAACACCAATATCTGTCTCTGGGTTTTTATTATTCGTGCAACAATTAATTTATTGACCTTTTTTTTTAAAGAAATGGCCTCTGTCATAGCTACCTACGGAACCTGCAACATGATCTAAAGTTTTTATTTCTGAATCTGTCATTTATTCACATATTGAACTTCGAATTCTTAACTAGTTTCCGAAAAGAAATTTTTTTCTAGTTTTTTTTTTTTTTTTTGAGACAGGGTTTCTCTGTGCACAGGCAGGTGAACAAATTTCAAACTAATGAAAGGTTTTGACCTTGTCTTCATATAGAAGAGGAGAGGCCTCCTGCCCTCGTCTTCCTTCACCCTAACCCTGAGTCTCATATAGCAAAAAAAGAAGATACTACTGATGGAAGTATGTAAAGGAGTAATAGTACAAAGACCAAAATCCTAACAAATTAAAAGGGGCTGAGAAACATTCTTTTACCCAGAATTCTGGATTGTGGATCAGCAGCATCACATTTATTTATGCCCTCAGTAATATGTGAGGCAGAAAGAAAAAAAAATGGTGAATCTGAGAAACACATTTTTAATAAATAATAAAGAATGCCATGAACACACATATTCCCGGTCTCTAAAATTTTTTAAGATTTAAACTGATTTAAAATGTGTGAAACACAAACCTTTATGGCAGAACTAGAAGTCTGTTCCCACCAGGCCCTCATACCTGATAGCAGCCAATCCAGCTCCTTCAAAACTCTGAAGAATTAACTATATCAAGAGTCATCATTTTTATGCATTTCACATGTAAACAGCAAATGCTACAGATTTTTGTTTTTAAAAACATCAGATATTAATGTGCATTTTCCCTAGCTATCAAGCTTTTGGCCAGGACACTGAGTAACTTGATAATATATTCCCAGTTTTTTCTCCTTGATAGTTGTATCACCAAAGTTATCAATCTGATAAATAAAATTGTGGCTCCAATGATTTCACATATAATACATACTGATGTCCCCAGAACTACTACTCTGTAATTTAAACTCTTATCTTTAACAGCACATAATAAAGGAGTCTTTTCGATTAATAAGACATCAGAAAATAGAATAAACTATGTTGGTTACTAAAAAAAGAAGAATTGCAAATTAAAAGATTGATTTCTTGGATTTAAATCACAGAAACTTGCTGTGAAATGAAAACTTTCAAAGTTACCTTTTTAATCTCTTTACCACTTTTATAATGCCAATGATTTCAAGATAGTAAGAATTTACTGGGGTCTGTCTTGGTGGTAGAGCACCTGCCTATCATGCATGAGGCCTTGAGTTTAAACCCAAGGTATAAATATAAATACATTTATATATTTATTTATATATACACACAGAGATAGTTTTAGAATATTTCCTTTGGTCAAATCTTTTATTTTCATGTTCCAACTCATTGCTTTGAATCTAATTTACCTGGAAAGAATTTCTCAACTATACAGGAGATGAAACTTTTCATTAGTGACCCCAAATCAAGGGCTTTAAATATTTATACATAAGAATTCCTGAAACATGTAGTGCTATAAAAGCAAGTGTTGTTCTTTTTCTAAACTTTGCTAATTTTTTTCAGCTTTTAAAAGGAACTGGATCTACTGTAAACAGATGTTAAAAAGCACAGAAGAAACAGACTTGTAGTTCTATGTAGATTCAAAATGTCCTTAAAAAAACAATTTCAAGACACAAAAGAAATCAGTTAGTCAATTTCTACGTGTGGATTTAAAGTGAAACAATACTTCTTTAAAATATTTTCTATTTTATTTTATGATTCCGTCTTTTAAAACTAGATTTGAAGCTCCAAATTTTAAAAAAAAAATATTCAGAGCTAGAATCTGGTAGATATGAAGTGAACCAGATCATCTTATCAAATTGATCATGAAAAAACGCACTAATTCACAATTAAATCCACAGAAACTGTTAGAAAATGTCTGGCCACACATGAACAGTGAGGAAGGCCAATATCTCTTTATCATGCTTAAATCTTTCCTGCACTCAACCAAGAAGGCTTCATACTGCACTGTTTGGCTTGAGAAAGGCTAATGGTATACAAGTTAGTGCATATAAGAAATTAAATACCTGCTGCTAGAACACAGTACCAATACTGTCATTAGGACTACAGCCTTCCCTTTTGATTTTTTCCTTGTGAATGCTTTGATGGACTTTAAATACCATTTTAAAAGATAACAAGTATCACAAGGCAGGAAACCTCTATAGGAAAAATGCAACCTTCAGAAAAGTAGAAATAATGTATCCATTTTTCTAAAGCAAATACATTTAGCATCCTATAAACCCAACTTCTTAAAGTACTATAGTTGGGCAAGCTAATAAGGAAATCATTCATACTAATTTATTATTAAAGACTTTTTTCCTATAAGTTTATCTGTCATGTTTTATCCTAATTCAAAGTAAAGTCTGAACCAATTTAATTATAGTTATAAAGTGTATGATTTGAGAGCTGAGTAAAAATAAACTTGACAAACTTCAAACATTTTTAATGCTTTTCACTGGTACTGGAGAATGTATTTACATATAGTACTCAATTTTTTTATTATTTTCCATGAATTTAAAATAAATCAGGCCACATGTATATTTAAATATAGGAAAAAGGTTATAGTTACATCCCTATAAACAGAAAAGAAACTTGAGAACTTGAGTCCTTTTTCAGATCATATAACATTTTTCCCTTTGAGCAAGTCTCTAAAAAAATATCATTTTCTAGATATAGTTTGGTATTTAACCATTTTATGTGCACTCAACAGTCATTTTAAATTGGTTCCCATATCTGAACACAAAGTCCATTTTAGGAGATAGCATTTACAAACGTACAAAATTTTAAAATTTTTATATATATACATGTATATATACATAAATTTAAAAAATGAAAAAATTGAAAACCTTTCCATTTAAAGGGTATAGTCTTTAAACCCTTCTAAAACAAACCCTCAAATCATACTCTTTTTGATATAACTTTGCCAATACTGTTCATGTAGGCCAGATAATACCCTAGTTTTCGTGAGAGAAGTAAAATGAATGCATACCAGCAGCAACTACAGCTGGAGGAGGCGAGCCTGCCTCACCACCACTTGTCTGACTCATTGATGCTACAGAAGTTTCTCTAGGTGGAGGTAACTGTAACTCCTTTGGGAGAAGATCATAGACAGATTCTGTAGGGAGGAAAAAAATTTGAAGATCAGTCAATAACCTAATTGCATATACATGAAATAAGTATCTTTTCTCTTTTGAGAATTATAAATTCACAAAAAAAAACTGTATCATGAAGGTTGTGAACAGTTATTAGCAGTATTTGTTCTTTTAGTATACAATCTTATTAAAAACTAGAGAATGAACTTTCCATTGGTTCTACTCTGATTTTGGTTTTACTTTTATTCTTTATTTGTTCAAGATCATCTCTAGAAAAAATATTTTTAAAACTAGCTAAAACTAAAATCATAATCCAAAAACTTATAAAGGCTTACAGACAAACACATAAATTTAAATGGAAAAGCAAGGTGAAATCCTTTTATGATCCTAACACAAGCAGCTAAGGCAGGACCAGAAACCACAGGTTTGAGGCCATCCTGACTCATAAAGTTAATTCCAGACTAGCTTGGGTTATACAGGAAGACGCTATCTCCAAAAATAAAAACTACCCCTCAAAAAGTGTTTCTGAGTCAGACAATGGTGAGGCACTCCTTTAATACCAGCACTCAGGAGACAGAGCCAGAATGCCTGAGTTCTAGGCCAGCCTGATCCACAGAGTGAGTTCCAAAACAGCCAGCGATACACAGAGAAACCCTGCCTTAAAAAACAAAAGCAAACTAAACAACAAATAAAAAAAAGTGTTTCTGAGAGAAAATGCTCCCTCTAGCATTGGAGACTAAACCAAGGGCTTCAGGCATCATAGGCAAGCACTTTACCACTAGGCCCCTGCTAAGACTTCTGTAAGTAAAAACACTTTACGAGATGATTAAAAAAAAAAATGTTCCATAATTAGATTAAGGTAATGGTTAAACAACTCTGTAAACAACTATTAAATTTTACTGTTTTAAATGTATTCTTACACATGCACACATGCACGCCCATGCACATGGCAAAGGCAGTCAGATCTCTGTTAGTTGAAGACAGCCTGGTCTATGGATCAAGCTCCAGGCCAGCCAAAGATATACAGTGAGACAGTGTTTCAAAAACAAAACAAAAACAAGCCAGAAAGAAAAGGAGCCTGGCTTTGAGTAATGCCAGGTTTATGCTTTAGTAATTCCAGCATTTTGGGAGCCCAAAGCAGAAGGAATGTTCAGGTCAGTTTGAGTCACACAGTTAAGTTCCAGGTTAGCCTGGACAAGATTTTAACCAAGTAAAATCTTGAGTAAAAATCTAGAGTAAAATTCTCTCCTGATGGTACAGTTTTCAAGATGAATATGCTATGAAGGTTGTGGGAAACAGCAGTACAGTTATTGGGAGCAGATGTAAAGACATCTATGCTATCTTTGGGGTCCTTTCTAAATTTTATGAAGGCTCCAATAAGCGATTCTTTAATGGTGATCAACACATTAGAATGGCAGCCACAGGTTTGTTGGCAGATGTTCATTCATCAGCAGATGCTGCGAGAAGAGAAGCACCCCAATATTAGTTCTAACTTTAGCTGAAACACTCCTCTAAAACATTTTGTAGAGTGGCCCTATCTGTACACAGTCATATACACCACTGTTAGGCCTTTCGGCTGCAGTTTCAAGTTAGATCTTACAGTATGAAAGAGGATGTACAGCTCATACGTATCGACCCATCGGGTATTTCATGGTTACTGTGGTTGTACCATTAGCAAAGCCAGGAAGCTGCAAAGAAAGAAATAAAAACGCTTCTGATGAAAGAAATTACTTCCTGTGGTACAGATAAAGGAGTTGTGAAATATTTTGAGGATAAAGCTTTTGAACTAGAGCTCAAATGGGTTGGAGAACTAAAAGAATATGGAATCGTTCTAAAAGATATAAAGGAGATGGCAGAGAAACAGGCTGAGGATGTTTGAAAAGATGAATCAGATGATGGCAGCATGTAACATTTTCTTCGTCAGCTCTTGTTTTATGCTCCTGTGACAGTTCCATAAGACTAGCACAGCACCATGGGTCATATAAACCCACTAATCAATTTATTAAATTTTTGTCTTACCAAAAAAAAAGAATGGGGTCGCACAAGTGAGAAGCACAAGAACAAGTAGGGCTCCTAAAAATGTCCCTGCTAAACTTCATGAACAAAATTGGCTTCTATTTGTGAGAACCAAATCATGAATGACAAATAGCAAGCAGGTGTTTTGTTTGTTTGTTTTGGTTCTCCTGGAAATCAGGAAAATGCCGCACGCACAGTTATGTTTAACTCAGTGATTTTTAAAAGTTCAAAGAAAGAAAAGAAAGAGTCAGGCAGTAGTAGCACATTTAATCCCGGCACTCAGAAGGCAGAGGCACTGGGATTTCTGAGTTACAGGTCAGCCTGGCCTATAGAGTGAGTTCTAGGACAGTCAGGGATACAGAGAGAAATCCTGTCTTGAAAAACCAAGGAAGTTCCTTTATACATGATGAAGAAATGTCAGCTTCATAAAATAAGTAACTTTCTACCAACTACACTCAAGATGTAGGAAGGAAATGGTCATTGCATCAATAACTTGAATATTTCTAATTTGCAAATGACAGAGATTTAAGAGGGATAAATATGCATTATTATAACTCATCACAATTAACAAAAAGTTAGTGCAAATACATTTTGATTTCTAACAGGCCGAGCAATTTATAATTAATAAGCCTCTATGTGTTTATTTGGGACTGAACGGCTTGGCTGCAGGACCAGGCAGGACAGAAACTTCCATTTATAAAAGGTGCCCAATTTTCAGCAACTATATCCACATAAAACCTGAGAGAGTTTGGGAAAGGATTCTAGACACAGAAGAACAGAGTCAAACACAGGCTCTTGGTAGCAGCATTTTCTCAAGTGGGCTCTGTTTGCTAGAGGCAAGCAGAGGCACAGCTCCCTTAAGAGAGGCTTCCTGACTCAGCGATAGTGGCAAAAACCTTGCAGCTCTTTTAAGAGGCTTGCCACCAAACAATTAAATGGTATTTATGAGCAGCTGGCAGCGTCAGGCTTCTTGGTAGTGGTATGGACCTTGCAACTCTAGAGTTGTGACAATAAACACGGTTTCCACCAGTACCTCCGCCATGAAACTCTCAGAAAACTAAGGAATGGGGCAGAACCAATCCCCAAAGCCACAGCTTTAATCCTAGCCATGTTGTTTAGTAGATTAAAGACTCACGTGCTCAGAAAAAGAAAAAAAAAAAGATATACAATAGAGATTCAGATGGGGAAAAAAAAGACCTCTAAATGGTTTACAGTGTGTTTAAAAAAATATACATAGGCTTGGGAGAGAAAAGAAAAAGGACAGAGAAAATCCTTTAAAAAGAGAGAGAGAGAGAGAGAGAGAGAGAGAGAGAGAGAGAGAGAGAGGTACCAAAACTACAGAGAAACCTTGTCTCAAAAAAAAAGAAAGAAAGAAAGAGAGAGAGGGAGGGAGAGAGAGAGAAATACAATAGTCAGGTGTGGCGAACATGCCTTTTATCTCAGGCAGAGGCAGGCGGATCTCAGAGAGTTCGACTTTAGTGTGGTCTACAGAGTGCATTCCGGGACAGCCAAACATCTCATAAAACCAAAAAGTAAAAAGTAAAAAGAAATAGAGGTTTTTAAAAAGCCACATAAAGGTGGAAAATACACAAAGAATGTGGATACTATATATTATTGTGTTGTTTTGAATTATTTGTTGAGGAAAGAGCAACATCTGCTACAAGACATCTGAAGCTAGGCAGTGGTGGTGCAGGCCTTTTATCCCAGCACTGGGGAAGCAGAGGGAAGCAGATCTCTGTAACTTCTGAGGCCAGCCTGGTCTACAGAGCAAGTGCCAGGACAGGCTTCAAAGCTACACAGAGAAACCCTGTCTCGAACTCCCCCTTCCCAAAAAAAACACATTTGATTATAATACGCTTCTGGATTAATCTAACCTATATAGTTTGAAAATGCCTTGACTTCAAATTTTAAGTCAAAGATAGCTACTTTGGAGAGAGGTTTTGCTTTTGTTTCCACAAGAAATAAAGGCTATAGATTTATTTTTGGTTAAGAAAAATAAGGTTTGATTGAGGAAGACCCCTTGAAAAATCTCCACTGGGAATGGATGGCTCAGATGATTCAACATTTCAGAGCACCTCTGTTGCAGTTTCTTCTGAGTTCTGCATCCAGTGCATCCAGAACTGGATGCAGAACAAGCTTCAAGGCTGCTGGCTGAGATGATCAAGCCTCTCAGGACTTGACCATAATCCTAAATTTTCTTTGGGTCCCCATAAGATTACCAGCACCCCCAATCACAGGAAGTAGCACAGAAAACTATGCCCACATTCCAAAAAAAATAGGTTATGGATGTTTATCTTTGTTTATTAGCGTGTTGGTTACAAGTTATAGACAATGGTCAAGAAAAAGGCTAAACAAAGGAGATAAGATTCAGGGTTTTTGTTTAGAAAAGAAAAATGGGGAAATGCTGTGGAATAATGTTCTTCTACACTGTAAAAATTTGTCACTCATATGGGTTTAATAAAATGCTGATTGACCAGTAGTTAGGCAGAAAGTACAGGCAAGGCAACCAGACTAGAAGAATTTTGGGAAAAGGAAAGGCAGATAGATATAGAGGCAGCAAGATGAGAATGAATGTCTCACTGACAAAAGGTACCAAGCCACATGGCTAAATGGGTTAGTTTAAGTTGTATGAACAAATTAATAAGCCTGAGCTAATAGACCAAACAGTTATAATTAGGATAAGCCTCTGTGTGTTTCTTTGGAAGTAAGCAGCTACGGGACAAGGCAAAACAGAAACTTCCGTCAATAGATCCTTTCTCTGGCTATAGGAGCAGACTGGTTCACTTAGCTGGAAGACCACCCTATGATACATGCCTCAGTATTACATCACTAAGCCCAATACAAGGTTTCTCTCTAGCAGTACTTTCTTGTTGCTTCCAGTAACGAGGGCTGAACTGCCAACACAAGAAGCAGAGTCAATAAAAAGCAAGAATGGCAGCTTGCAGGCCAAACTGCAGAAAGTGGCAAGGTAAGCTGGCTGACAGCTGAAAAAGAGGGAGCTGAAGAG